TTATTTATGGCTGAAGCACTCTTTGTTTAGAATAGAGATAAAGTATCTTCTCCTGTCCTTAACAGGCAACTACATGTGCTTTATTGACTGCTGATGAGGGTAAGAATTCGGGGTTTTCTTACTATGTATCAGCATTTATAGAATAATCTTATATCTCTGCTGAGGCTGACCATCTCATTGAGAGGATAACGTGCTCGAGATAATATTTTTTATTTTTTTTCCCTGTCTACGCACAGTGCCTAAAGTAATGGAACCTCTGTTCTCACCTTAGCTTCGTATGTGCCACTGCACTATAATCTATGCTTATTAGTACTAGTAGCAAAATATGATAATCAGAAAATACACAGAAACTTTCAGCACAAGTGTACATGGTAAGAGTGGAAAGTGAGAAATGGCTAGAGGAAAGAAACAAACATATACAAATTTCTACTGATTACCCCATTAAAATAATGACAAAATACAAATTACAAAATTACCAGTATTATGATTATGTTATGAGAAGCAAAGGCAGATAAATGGAAAATATCAATATTTTGCTCATAAATATTTACTTTGGAAATAGAAAGTCTACCCAGGGTTACCACTGGGAATCACAGAAATTCTTCAGGTACAATAAAACTCAGAGATTTTGTCCTAACCCCAAATCAAGCCCCAGGGAAACCTTTGCAAAGCAGGATAACATTTCTCAACCTATTATTTTTCATTCTGCCTGAATTTCTGGATAAGACTAAAATACCTTGATGAAAGCTGTATATTTCCAGCTCAGTTAGAAATAGAATATCATGGGGAAAGAATGCTATCATCAAATTTTCGGTTCAATGTCATGAAGTTCAGGTAAGAAGGATAATCATCTAAACGACAGTGCTTACTTACACTGTATTGAACAACCTGTCAATGTCAATAATTACTACTCAAACTTAGTCAGGATATCGTAATAGAATTATAAAATATTAAAGTAATTTGAATTCTGTTAGTAACTTTGAATAATTTTACGGCTTATCATAGATGAATAATGCATCAATTATGCCCAAATATTGCCCTACGACATTGACTGGAATGAGGTATCTATTTTTTTAAGTACAAGTACACTAAAAGTACAATTTTTAAGTACAATACAGTAAAAGACTACAGCTATGGCAAGGAGTGTACAAACCATACAAAAAAAGATACAGAAAAGATGTATTAGTTCCCCTGTAGCAGACAAGCACAAGTAGATTGTAACCCACCTCCTGCAATAAAGCAAAAAATCCACCTTTCTTTTTAATCCAAGTTCTAGAAGAGAAAACATAGTATAGATCCAGAGAGCTGTGAATTAGGACAAACACAAGCCTAAAAATGATGCCTAAACTTCAGCAAATTTATCAAGTACTTTGATTGGGGTTGAGAATATGAGTCCAAATGAGTATACAGGAAGCAATCATTTTTTCATGAAGAATACATGCTTTACTGTGCACACAAATTCTTCCTTCAGAAGGCTGTAAATTACAGTATTTATGGAATCTTAATGATCTAAACACAGTTGGAGCCTGAAGGTCAAGGCTGCAAACTGCATCCTAAATTTCTGTTTACAGACGAAGCGTAGTATTTATTGCTGCACTGCTTGTGCTGCTATAGTTAAAGGGCTGCCAGCATTTCCATTATAAACCACTATTTCAGGGGTTTATAACTTGCCCATCAATCTTCTGACTGGGATGAAACATGGCATACAAGGTCCTTGCTGTGAGACTGATTTTTTTGTTTGCTTTACCAAATTACAAAAAGAAAAGCTTAAAGTTACACAAGCAAAAAAAAAAGTATGTCAGGTTTTTCAAGTACTTCTAGTGTTCCTGTGATACAATTAGAGCTTCAGAACACAAAACAGATTCATATAAATGCATCAATTAATGGAAGGAGTTTCAATCCCTAAAAAGCGAAAAAATAACCCTAATAAAGACATATTGTTAGATACTTTTTTAAAAAAAGACACTGTACTGAAGAATTTTTATGGCAGGAAAGGAAATCTACCACTATCCTCAGTTCTGTTTGCATCAAAGGTAAATCTGTAACTATAATTACACACCTTGGCACGGTACAAAGTATTTTATTATTAGGTAAAATAGTTCAAAGTGAAGTCAAATCCAAAAGTTTTCCACAAACTCTGAAGTAACATTATCATCAACTGTTAAATCCTGCATCATTTTTAATGAAATCAGAAGAGGAAAAATTACAAAATTTTCATTTCCACACTATCGACTTTGCCAGTGTGAATACCACACTCTGTGCCAAAGTACTGCTGAGAGCAGGAAGGTGAAAAATTTATTTCACATTATGCCTACATATCTTGCAATTACATCTTGATGAATAGCAAACTTAATACTGCAAGCACTGCAAGAATTTAAATATCAAACCTCAAAATATATACACCTCAAAAAACCCTCTTATTGGAAGCCTCAGTTGTGGTATAATTTATTTTTACAAATAAAGAACTGGGCCAGATTCAATAATGTGCCATAGTGATGCAACACAGACATATTACATTATATTAAGTAGTTTTATGGCTTCTTTGCAACACCATACCAGTTCTGACAAGAAAGATAGTAGTGCTAAACCTGGAATATTAGACTTTATTTAATCACAGTTTGGTTTATTTCTCTATATTATAAATCCAGTTAAAAAAAGGAATGAAGTAAATTAGTTCCTCCCCAAATATCACCATTATATTTTCTTTATTATAGCTGTAGGGATTTTATTCACTGACACTGTTGAGTTCACCACAAGTACCTTTTTTTTTTTCTTTTCTTTTGTTTTTATTAGAAGATGAATGCATTTGTTTTGTGCCATTCCTAATGCTTGGAAGAACCTCTTCCTCTTGATGCTGCAGCTTTTGGCTTTTCTTCCAAAGCCTTCTCTCCCATCTATTTTGCGCCCACTTGCAACAATCACTTGCACAAGACATTTGACAATTTTTCCCATCGGGTACAACCAAGTATTTTTTTATTACTTTAGTTAGTTCTGGTTGCAAGTACCTTTATATTCCTAAATAACATAGATGCCTCATTCATTTCTGTGTCCTGGTCCCTGTCTGTCTCCTATGTACGTATGTCAGTTCACTTCCCAGCTCTCTTTTTTGAGTATGCCAACCAGTTTCCCCTAAAGTAAAACCTGGGTATGGCTTTAGGGACAGTTTTACTTGGGAAAGCCTCCTAATGAGCAGCATGGATAAGCCATTGGCTGTCTTCAGCCACAGAGTCCTTCAAAATAATCCCAGTAGGTCTGGTAAAGTCAAACAGCCCACACATACCCTCAACTCTATAGCCCAGGGCATTCAAAATATATCCTAGGGGTCAAGCTATGAAACCCTATGCTGATGGGTTGCAATACAGTGCTTCAGACTGTGTGGTCTGTTACTGCTTCTCCTGAAGAGCCAGAGGGCCAGGCATTACTCAGGGCAGCCTTGGCCAATTCTTGCTTTTCAAACTTTTTCTAAGCTACAGATTGCTCTAAGTTTGGGGTTTGTTTTTTGTTTGTTTGTTTTTCTTGTAGAGGAATCTATGGTGAGATACACCAATCTGTACACTTCTTTCTTAGAAAGTGAAAGATGGAATGATTATGACATCTTAAAATCAACTTGGGTATTACAGTTGAATACATACTAGAGAATAATTCTAACCAGAGACAAGAAGTTATGAATGGTGAGTGACTAAGCCCCTCTCATTCACTTCCCTGAATTGCCTTTGACTGGTTGAAATGCACCCAAGAACACTGCTATATCATTATGTTAAATAATGCTACACAGTATCTTGTATAATTCCGAATCTTCAATGAACTGTAATAAGTTTTAAATAAAATATAGGTGGAGCTTGTCAAGCAGTATTACACTTCAAAATATTTTATCCTGAAAGCTTATTTTACTAACACAAGTATCTGTCATGCTGTCTGAGTTGCCATCACACTGTACATCTTGATAGCAGTGATGTCATGAGAGAAATGCTACAGTGCTGCATTCTAATGACCTCTTGTATTGTATGAATTAATGGGGTTTTTTTTTTCAGAAAGGATAAGATAGGAAAAAATAGCTTTAATCTTGGATACTAACTGAGTGAGGCTTTTTGTGAAAGAACATGACAGTTTTGAAAACCAAGCAATGCAAGATTACCATTTAGGCTTCAACACGTGAAGAACATGTTGAACACTATACCTGTAAATTCCTGGAGGAGCTCGATGAACCAGGAAGCTTTTCTCCAAGTTTTGTAGCACATCATTGAGCATCCTGACTCTGATAGGAGCTCGCTCCTTGGGGTCATTAGCTGGGCGCATCTCATCTGATTGGAACAATTCTGCGGTGTCCCTCAGACGTGATGCCATTGCGAGCAACTGAGGAATGTCTACTTCATCACCTAGGAAGAGTAAGAGCAAGACAGTTGCCACTGATTCCGAGAACATCACTTATTACTCTAGCTTACAAGTAAAAATTAATAGTCCAACTAAAACCTGAGCCTCATTTCCCTTGTAAGAATTATGTAATTGAACAAGGAAAGCCATAGATCATTGTGCATAAGCTCTGATCTATTTTTCAAAGAAGATCAATTTGAGTGGTGATGTTTTAAGATTTAATAAGCGATGAGGAATGATTTTGGGGTACAGCTTTGGAAATCTACCATTGGGGAAAAAAAAGACATGCAGGAAGCAATGGTTATAAATCAGTAACTATAATATTTTCTTCTGAAACAGAATTTACTCAATGCCATGTGATGCTACTGCTCTCAAGTTTGAAAGCTTGTGTTTGGATTCCATAATGACTGCTGTATAGAAAATCATAATATGCAGAGTTTAATTGAAAATTTTCAACATTTTAGAATACTTGAGGTTAACAACAGTTGTAGAGGGGATGTGAATTTGTTCCTCTTAATCGTTTAAATCATATGCCTATGAGCCAACTAATGCTTTAATTGGTAATCAAACGTATATTCTAATCTAGTAAATATTTCCAAAACTTTTTAAACTTGGGCTGTTAACTGTTACTTTGTTTGTGATCCTACACAGACACCAAAAGAATAAAGCCCACAGCACTTTGGAACACACCACAATTTCCATATTTCCATGTTTGTAGCCTGAAAAGAAGAATGTGCCATGTGAATTGGAGCGCTGTGAATGTGCAGTCTATTCCCACTTGAAGTGCAGGTAAAAAGCTTGCTCTCCTTTACCAGTGTGTGCAGAGACTAAGTTAATTGGAGGGAGAAAGCAGAATCTTAACCTGATATAAAGTCAAAAGTAACATCAGTCAGCAATAACATTTCCAGGATGCAGAAATGATCTTTAAGGCCAAGATTTGCTTTGCCTATTAAGGACAAGAAAATCAACTATCCTTAGATCTTTAAAATAATGATTTAATCAAAACAAACCATTCAGCTTTAGAAGCTGTCTCATCTTTCACTGAATGTACAAACCTCAGTGAGTTCAGTATCTTAGTGACTGAGATGATTAATCCAACAAAGTGGTTCAAGACACAAGTTGAATGAATGCTAAAGTTCCTTGTCTAATAGATAAATGGAGAGATCAGGAAAAGTAAATGGATAACATCAGCTCATTTCTCAAACTAGTTATGGATGGAGTCTGAAAGTTAAGCATATAACAGGAATGGAAAAGCAAATAGATACAACTAAGAAATTCAAGGAAATGCCCGAATATGACATATTCTCCCTCTCATACAGAAAAAGAGATTTGCTATTGGATACATTTCAGTAAAGGGAAAGGAGTTCACAGATCCCCACACACTCCTGTCATTCAGCTGACTAATGCATTCCAATCTAGCAAAACATGCAATGATCCAAAATACACGGAGAGACAGATGTTGGTGTGAGAGGATACTGTCATATTTCCTGAGCTATCAAGATGAAATTCAACAATGAACAGAAGCTCCCTGTGGGAATAGGAGTGAGAGAAGATAGTTGTGTCTTGGTTTGGGACAAGGTTGCTTTGTCAATGGCTTCTGACCAATCCACCTTTCCCTAATTAGAATGGATAAGAGGCACTGTAGTACCTTGACATACAGGATCATAGAATCATAGAATGGTTTGGATTGGAAGGGACCTTAAAGATCATCTAGTTCCAATCCCCCTGCCATCAGCAGGGACACCTTCCACCAGACCAGGTTGCTCAAAGCCTCATCCAGCCTGGCCGCTTCAAC